GAAGGGAGAGGGTTCGGGCTTGCGCAGCCGTCGGGATGGGAGGTCGCCGGCCTCCCCTCCCCCCCGCCGGGGGTCCCTTTCAGTTGGGAAGGCGCGGGGGAATCAGCCTGCGGGTTCAGCCCGGCGACCACAGCGTGAAACCACCCCCCCTCCTGCAGGGGGTTGGGGCCAGAATTGAGGCCCCGATAGGAATTCAACGCATAGGGGTCCCGATAGCAGTCGTGATAGGCGAGACTCAGGCGAAAGAAAGTATCGGCATCCGACTCCATGGACTTCGCATGTTTATTGTCAACCTTTTCTTTGTAAAGGCCCCCCTACCCCTCAAATAGGAACGATTTTTTTTGCTTGTAAATGTGGAAATGAATCAATATCTATTAATACAGGTATTTATCTTGTTAACCAGCTGTAAAGGAAATAGATTGGGTGTATTGTCATTAAGGGAGGCTATTAAGGACGAGGGAAATGGAAACAATAACGCAAAAGCATACAACACTCAAGGAGCAATAATGGTGTTGGGATATCGATATCAAGAAATGAATCCATCTACGTATCAGCAATAAATCCATCACATGCGAACTTATAAAATAAACGGAACATCTGCAAGGTTACCAATCACCATAACCGTTTCTCGCTCCTTTGTTGAAGTTTCAATCAGAGTGACGGCAAGTGATTTGTACACATTCTCAGACATCATAAAACCCTTTGATTCCTTGTGAACATCGCAGTAGATTACAGCTTCGCGTCCCTCAGAAGGGGCTTTGAGGACAAAAACCATCTGGAGACGACGGGGCTTAAGACCTAGGAGGTCGGAAAATTCATACGACCCGCTGCGAATCCGTCGCAGCAGTGGCAACTTGAGGCCTCCCATAGTGCCGTAGGCTTTGAAGGTTCCAGCGCGCGGGTTTTGTCCAAGCAATTCCTGCACCCTCGGATTCTTCATCACGAGCGCGATAGAGTGGTTGTAGACCGCGTTGGTGTTGATCCGTAAGCGTCGTATAACCTGGAAAATTGCGGTATAGGCAACTATGCAACACCCAAAACCACTCACAAAACCCATGCGTGCGACCGTCTGCGAGCTAAAATGAGAAAATAAACGGATCCCTTTTAAAAAAATGTATATCATGGAAAAAATCGTTACGATGCAGGCAAATATTTTGAAGTTGAAGACCACAATGTCGGCTGGGAGGCCAAAAATGGTGCCTCGGTAGCGAGTGGATTCGGTATCGTAAACCAAGTCATCTACCTTCACCTTGGGGGATGAGCGGCGAAACAAGTTAGCCATGAACGTACGTCGTGGTGTGCACAGCGTGCACCTATCACCGGGGGAAATCGGCGCACAGGCGTAAAAGCACTGGAAAAGGGGGCCTGAATAAAGCCCTGACGGTCTTTGTGTGGTTAAAACACCCACCGGTGTTACACAGGAAGGCTTGCGTTGCGCTCCTGTGGATGTGGTGAGCCCCTTGCACACCAATAATGTGGCATCCATTGTCCTCAAAAGTTTAGAAGTTTTAACGCCCCTACACTGTAAGGCTGTCGCGCGATACATCCTTGGCTATTACACTTTCGCTATTGAATATTGAATTCCTAAATGAAGCGTTTTACTACAAAAGTAGATTCACAGTCCCACACTCATTCAACCTAGAAAGGTTAAATAAAAAACCTATTCGTACTTTTTTTGAAATTCCACTTTTGCTTTGGTTGGACACAAAAGAAAAATAACTATACCTTTCCCAACAACGCAGTTAGACTGAAGGGTGAAAATGGATCAAAGTAATACGCCTCGTATACACAAAGGTCGAGATGACATAAAGACCAAATGTTTCTATAAAGTGCGATCTTAAAGAATATTTTTTGAACTAGTATTTCTGCAGTTGTTTGTCAGAAAGAGTAAGATGCTCAGGGCCCGTACAATATACAAGTGTCATATTATTTCCAATGCCTTACAGTTTAAAAGTGGAGAGAAGAAGCAATAGAAATCAAGGGAGCGCTAATATAGCAACAACAACGAAACTAGACAAAAATATAAGCCAAAGCGATTATTTTATGATATGAAATCACTATCGCTGTATCTCATAAATCGTACGCGCTTGAAAATATTCATCAAGAAAATTGGTTCTCTCGTCGAAATAGATACCCTCAAAAAGCAAGTCGATCTATAGATCCTCGAAAATGATGAGCAAACGTAATAACACCACTCGTCTTTAACGATACCGCCACTAATCGATATGTGTCAATTCTTCCTTTGCATTCTAAAATAATTTATGGCTTAAGCGTGTGGTATTTGGGTTATACTGGTATTGTACTTGCGATAATGATTAACACGAACAGGAGTAGAATAATCAACACAATAACAAATAAACAGATGTGTTTTTTATTGATCTTTTTCTGAAGCTTTCGTGACTTTTTGAATTCGATGAGCGAGTTCGCTACATATCTGGCACTATTTCTTACATTGGTTTGTATAACGTCCAATAGCTCACCTTGCTCGTCAATTAATAATGCCATGTCATTAAATACGCGGTTAAGCTCACGCATAGAATATTCGATGCGGTAGATGTCGTTTCTGGTTTCTAGAATTGAGGCGAGTACTTCCTTGCTTTGCTGGAATATGTAGCTATTAAGGTTGTTATCCAGAACCTGCTGTGCAAGTTGCTCAGCGGCTGCATCATCGATCTCAGTGTTCTCCGAGTTCTTGCACATTATTTTTATTTGGCGCTTAGTATGTTCCCTATAAGACGTCTCACTTGCATTTTGTACTTTGTGATAAATCTCCATTATCTCCATAAGTTTGCCGATAAGGTATCTATGCTGATTCTCTTGAATGCGCACAATTGCAGTATTCGCTTGCAGAGTCTCAGGGTCCTTCTTCAGCGCTTCGTTTTTTTTGCTCATGATGTCCAGTTTTCCTTTAGCAATACTAATTTTTTCATTGCAACGGCCAGCAAGCGTTTCAATTTCGCTCCGCAGCTGTCGAGCGAGGGTTGGATCAATAGTTTGGAGATTCGACGTGTGCTTATTTTGTAGCTCGATTGTAATCTGTTTCATCTCTGCAATGACTTCATTTAATTCATCTATGTCTTTGAAAAAGGCATCCAATGTTTCTGCAGCACTCTTGTCTATTTCACTTACAGGTAGTTTAAAGCTCACTATGGCTCTCTGTTTACGGTAGTCATTCCTATCCTCTGGAGGAGTGTAAATACTAGCATTATCAGTCTGAAATTGTGCATCTTTTCTCAAATAAGCATATCCCCTAACTTGTGATAATAGATCCATTATTCGTTTTTTTTCAAATCCTAAGTTATTCAGTCGAAGATTTTTAAGGGTAAAAATCTTAACATTTTTACACACAAAAAAAGTATGGGAAATGAATGGAACCTAAAATGCATTCTTCACCGTCCTGTCCAATAATATAGGAAAATGGATAAATTTGTTTCTCTACGTAGTGTTGTGAAATGCGTTAGTTATTTTCGCTCTGCACAGACTAGATTACTCTGCTCTCCTCACGTAAGGTATTCATGGTAAACGTACATTGCATTAAAATAAGTGCATATACATATCTATATGTATCACTAAAGTTTAGCCATCCCTTTTTAGTCTATACTCTGTATCAGCAACACACGTGACATTGCGCCGCTTACTAAAGATTAACCTATGTGGACACAAGCTCAAGGTTCACGAATGTACAGACGACAGAAAAACGAAAAAAGAGTAAAAAATCACAAAAACAGGTATCATACTTGAGTTTCCCATGCGCATTAAATCCCTTCCCTTCTCTACTTTGCTTATAAATGTTCACCAAAATTCGTAGGAAGCTCTTCGATTTGTGTCGCATAGAACTGCTCAATGTCCTTCAGTAGCCGCAACTCATCGCGCTTCACAAAGCTAATTGCCAGACCCTTACGCCCCAAGCGGCCAGTTCTTCCAATACGATGAATGTACTGTTCACGTGACAGCGGAAGGTCATAATTAATCACCAGTGTCACCCGCTCCACGTCGATCCCACGCGACCAAAGATCCGTCGTGATAAGAACACGGCTATTCCCCTCACGGAAGTTGCGCATGATCTCATCGCGCTCCGCCTGCGGCATGTCACCGTGGATGGCACTGACGATGAACTTTTCTTTGGTCATCTTCTTGACAAGCTGATCAACCTTTTTGCGTGTATTGCAAAATATGATGGCGTGGGCGACCGTAAGGGAATCATAGAGATCGAAAAGTGTATTGAGCTTATTCTTCTCCTCATCAACCGTTACGAAATATTGTACAATGCTGTCCACCGTGATCTCATCGCGTTTGACGAGAATCCGCACGGGATCCGTCATAAATTTCTCCGTCATATCGAGCACATCCGCCGGCAACGTTGCGGAGACAAGGATGACCTGCAGAGGGGGAACCATACGGTAGATATCGTGAATCTGAGCCTTGAAGCCCTTCCCGAGCATCTCGTCCGCTTCGTCCAGGACGAGCGTCTGGAGGGCCTCCACGCGGAGGCACTTGCGTTTGATCATGTCGAAGACGCGTCCTGGAGTGCCGGAGACGATCTGCACGCCGGCCTCCAGCCGGCGCATATCCTCCTCCGTGCTCCTCCCCCCCACGCAGGCGTAGGCGGTGATCCCCATGTGGTGGCCGATGTCATTGCAGAGGTCCTGCGTCTGCGCGGCGAGCTCGCGGGTTGGGGAGAGGATCAAGGCCTGTGTAACACGCTGCTGTGGGTCGCAGGCCTGGAGGAGGCAGATGCAAAAGGCCGAGGTCTTGCCGGAGCCGGAGCAGGCCTGTGCGACGAGGTCCTGACGCTGAATGAAGGGCAGGATGAAGCGTTTTTGGATGGCCGTGGGCTGCTTGTAACCGAAGCTGTACATTCCTCTCAATAACCCCTCCTTCAGCCCCATCGACTCGAAGGTCGGGATGGCAAGGACATTGGCCTGGAGATCCACCTCAACGTCTTCCATTTCTTTATTATGGGTGTTTTGGTGGGGGTTAGGGTAAGTTTGGAATGACTAATTAATACTTTACTTTTTGTGTTATTACTTTCTTTTATATTTTATACTCCAACCAACTTAATAGATTTGTATCTACAAATTTGGTTTGACGTAGTGGAGAAAAGATACCTGAGATAGCACCCACACACCCGTGGAGTGGAAGTAAAGACGAGGCATTTAATAAATGAAAAATGACAATATAGGAGGCAATCAATAAGTCTTTTGTATCAGTCCTGTGTATGCATTATTCTTTCCAAGGTCTGTCATTGGTACCTTAAAGGGGATCCCCAACCAGACTGGAAAAGACTGAAATGAGTGAAGAAAATCAGAATATTACGGGAAACAGAAGGATAAAAGGGCAGTGTCTGATGTTGTTTTCTGCATAGAAAACCTTCGAATTGTCGCTCATCGTTTTGAAAAATATAATATCCTGGAAAGGAAGGGATGCCACGAACCGATGTCTGACAAGGAAGATAGTCACACAAGAACACACAAAAATACCTAAAAGACAGATTCAGCAAATCTATGGGTGCAACGCCTCTATTTCCTCAAGTCTAGGGATGGTAGCCACCAAAGGGGAACCATCATCTCTGGTGTTGATCGCGCCTAATACGTTCACGAAACAACGCTTCACGTAGCTCCGAAATAACCGTGGTGCTCCGACGACAGCTCTGCTCGAGTACTTGTACTTGATGCCGAAGCAGTTTCTCGCTCTCCAGCGCCCGCGTCAATTCGCTCGATAATTCATTCCCATCATTACCGACGAGAGCAGCGGGGACAGAGTTGGCGTGGGAGTAGTGATTTAAAGAAAAGCTGCTGTTTGTTAATTCCCCAAATTTCTCCGGGGATGCCATCGACGTATTATTTGAGGAGTTCGCAATGAGCCTGGAGAGAAGCTCAGACTCGGTACGCCTACTGTTCTCTAGAACCTTCCGTGCCGTCGACTCCTTCTCAAGTTGGGCACGCGCTTCAACGAGTTGCGCTTTTAGCACTTCCGAAAGGCTGGCCCATTCACCGATCTCCGTTGCGAAGCGCTTTTGTTGTTCTGTTTGATTGCACTTAGATTGATCCAAAAGTCCTTTCCAGTGATCACGTTCTGACTCGAGTTCCTTGAGTTGGTCTTGAAACGCAACCTTGTCTTCTGCCAAGCGCCCCTCGTACTCCCGCCGCATCTTCTGGATCTCATTTTCCATCGACGATACTTTTGCTTCATTTTCACCGATCTCGACTTGCTTTTCCTTTTTGAGCTGTTGACACTGAGCTTCGAGATTTTGCGCGTGCTTTGTGAGCCCCTCAAGGCGTTTTTCAAGTGTTTTGACATCCTTGTAAAGAAAACCATTCTGCTGGGTTAAGCGGTCGGACTTCTTTGTGGCCTCATCGAGTTGTTTATCACTCTCCTGTAAAGCTTCAGTGGCGTTCAGTGTGTTTTTTTGGTATCGTTGTTCTGTCTTACGAAACCGTTCAATAGCCTTCTCGTGCTTTAGTCGTAACTCCTGTAGATCATTGCGATAGACATCGAGTTCCCGCACCTTTTCCTCCAGCTTCAGCCCGTGCTTTTGATGTCGACGATACGTGAGTTGGATGCTTTCCAAAGCCCCAGTGGTGTTAGCGTGTTCCTTTTGAAGCGAATGAAGTTGAGCACTGAGGTCAGTAGCTTTCTTCCCTAATGTCTGCCGTTCCACAAACTCATGGCGGCGGTAGCGCTCGATCACCACGCACCACGGCCCCCACACATCCCTGACCAAGTCTATCATGCTTTCTAGAGCAATCACACCCCGTTCCTGCTCTTCCATCAGTTTTAGCTGCATGACACACAAGTGCCGGTCCATCTCAGCAAGCTTAGTGTTCATTCCTTCAGTTCGTAAAGTATTTCTTGTGGTATCAAGTTCTAAACGTTTGGAGATCAACTGGAGCTGTTCAGTAAAATCCGCACGTTCGTGTTCGACTGCGCACCGCTGTCGATTTATATCGGCTTCTAGGTAGCTAATAGTTTCGGCTTGCTGACGACAGAGCCAGAAGATAGAAGAACAAAAGAACTGCTGAGCTGCATCCTCCATCTCACGGCGAACACGTGCCTCCTCATCGATTAGAAACAGGAGTGCAGTTCGATAACACCGATTAAGGTGATCATTTGTCGCGTTCAACGCAGCTTGCAGATAATCGTGCTGCTTTACAACATCCTTCACTTTCAAAACGATATCTTGAGGGCTAGTGCTCAGCTCTGACGGGCTGTTGAACAGCACATTCAACTCCGCAATGCCTTCGCGTAGTGTACTGATTTCATCGTCTTGCGCCTCAATAAGGCATTTTTTTTCGTGGAGTTCGGTCTTCAGTGACAAGGTAAGAACTGCTTGACTTCTACTATGTGCTTCTAAGTCCTCACGAGCTTTGAGGGTGTCTTGCACGAGTGTACGCATCCGTTTGTTGTCCTCGTACAGCCTAAAAATGTCTTCATCTTTGGAATTAAGTGCCTCGAAGTAATTATGCATAACAGTATCGACTTCATCCAACAGGGGTGCGGTCATTTTTGGTCTCTAAATATGTATATCTATAGTTTTGTGTACATAAGACACCATTCTATGAAAGGTACAACAAACAAATGAGTCTAATTAAAAAAATGTTATTCTTTCATCAACTCAAAATAACACAATAAAATAAAAATCAGGAAAACAACCTTAATGATCATTACTTCATCTCGCATTTAAGAGAGGGTTGAACCTTGTAAAGCATAATATATAAACACCTAAAGGAATTATGTCTATATTGTCTTGCTTAACTTTGACATATACATCAAAAATAAAAAAATATTACCCAAATGAACCGATACATAATTAACTATGCACAAGACCAAAACTTTCTATCATATTTATGTCTATCATTTTCGAGGGAAGATAAAAGTGTATAGAAAAGTTGCGTTCTGGTAGAATAAAAGGGGAACATGGAAGTTCTCCATTTTTTATGCGCACTTCAGGTCAACAATATATCAATACATTGAGGATGTGTGAAAGCATTGATTCAAAGACATTTTACAGCATTTCTATTATTCATCCCCTTGCTAGGACAGAGTAAATAATAGATATCAAACAGCATTTTTTTTACACGTTCTCGTTATCTGATGAGGAATCGATATTACGAAGAAGCCGCACATCCTTGATATCCTGCTCGGCATCCGCTTGTTTTTGCATATCGGCCTCAGAGACGTAGGGTTTGCGGTGTGAAGTGTGGAATTTGGTGCTGGGACAGCACGGCGGGGTTATTCTCATAGGCGGCTTCCCTTTACTCTTCCCTAGGCTGACCTTGACATTGCTCCGGTCCCGGCTATGGACGGCACGCCCGCTGGCGAGACGCGACTCAAATTCATCTATCTCCTGCGAGACGGTGGTGCAGTCTCTGCACTCGTCGGCTGTGTAGGCCTCCTGCAACGCACGTTCCAACGCGGCGCCGGGGTCCACCCCGATGACGGGCGTATCGTGCTTCATGAGTGACACCTCTTGAACTCGGACACAATCCGTAATCTCTTTGGATCTGTAGACTTCTATTTCGGGTTTATCCTCTTAGGGGAGGGGGGATTGTAACAGGTGTGTGAGGAAAAGGATAAACACTATAGAAAATATAGAAAGGGAAAGTAGAGGGAAGGTCATCGCTAATTTATTTGTTACACATGAACAGCAGTATATAAGGAAGGTAAATCATGCGTACACACTTACATTTGGAAAGAGAGATGTGATAAGAAGGAAGCTTTGATATCTGAAAGGGGTAAATTTACACGATCAGAAAGAAGCAAAGATGTATAAAACTTTATAGATATTGATTTGAAAAACCAAATTAAACTAAATTTATAAATGACAAGAAGTAAAAGAAACTGATTATCTTTTTTCTTGTTATATAAAATATTCGACACATTATTATGCCGAATTTTGAGACGCAGACACTTTACCGTGCATGACGCCATAATAACAGTTCAGGGGAGTTAAACCCATTTACAACTATCGCAGGTAGCGACCTTTCAACAACGAACACTTTTTTTTGTTCTAACCCTTAATTTTTTTGTAATATAAATTCACGCACACATAATGTATCTTAGGAAGTACATAAAGCTTAGAATTTACACAAAATACACAAGGAAAAATCCAATGTCTTAAAATAAGAAAGAACCAAATTTCATCAGTTTGTTCACATTTGTGAGTAAGATATGATTTACAACTCATAGCTCCCTACGCTTAACTAGATTTTCCAACCATGTAAATATTCAAATAAGCACTGAACGAAAGCAAGGGTTATTAAATATAAACAAATGAAGACATTTTATATAAAGATAAGAGGTAAAAAGATTAATGAAAGAACATCAAATAATGTATTTTAAAACCCAATTTAACACCCACTCAAAAGTGGCTAGTCAAATAAAGGCAATCAGTTTTTTTAGGGTTCTTATTGTTTTATATCTTCATAACTCGACGAAGTTTTCAAAATTTTCGGATACTACACTTCTCTTTAAAAATATATCATTCACCTTTTGTAAATCTATGGCTTATGAGGAGGCACAAATGAATGTGAATTCTTCGTTCTTTTTTGTCTTTTTTTTGCTCATAATTTTTTGGCCTAGTTGTTTGTCTTGTGATTGATTCAAACACTCCCATTCCTCTCGTCGGGCATTCTCGTAGGCTTGTCGAAGAACCCAGTCATAGACATAATCATTTGAGTACCCGAGCTTGCGAAAAAGCCAGCGGAATAGATTGCGGAGGTATGTGTAGTTTGGATTTTCCTTGAATTTTAATGCACGAGTGTAATTAATGTAGCTCATAAACTCACTTGGTAGCCCCTCACAAAGCACATCCACCATTGTGGACATTTTATGTTGCGCAATGGTATTGTGATTTGCATTCCGGAGGCCCTGCCATGGAAGGGAGTCTTTCATAAAGTATACTAATATGTATCCTACCGCTTCTAAATCGTCTCTTCGGCCCTGTTTGATGCCAAGATGTGTGTTCACGCTGCAATATCGTAAGGTGCCCATCATATGGTTGCCTTCACTGTAGTCGATATGGGATCGGTTGATAGTTTTGTAGTACATCTTCGAGAGACCATAATCGATGAGATACACGTGATGGCTTTTCTTACCTAATCCTATTAAAAAATTATCAGGCTTCATGTCTCGATGAATGATACCACAACTGTGAATGTACTCTAGTTGTCCAATCATTTCATCCGCTAACATGAGGGTTGTTTTGAGTGAAAATTTCCTACTACAACTCGTGAAAAGCGTCTCCAGAGATGGACCTAAGAGATCCATGACCATAATGTTGTAGTCTCCTTCCGTTCCATAGTAGTACACTGCCGGGGTTAAGGCTGAGTTTTTCTGTGAGAGATGGCAATACAACAACCACTCATTATGGAGCTGCCTGTGCGACTTTGTGGTGTCTATTTTAATGGCTACCTTTTTAAGGTTAGTTTGGTCCACGCTTGTGTAAACCTTACCAAAAGATCCACTTCCAATATGCTCCAAAAGTTTGTACCTGCCATTAACGAGGGTTATATTGATTAAGGAGTTACTCATACACTCCTTCATCACGTTTGGCTCTACTTAATATTTTAAAAGCCTCACATATAAAAATAGTATATGTTTAGTGAATGAACAAAATCTAAATGAACGAAAGCAATAACAAACTTTTAATTTGTATAATTTCACTGTTACAAATGGTTCGTAGCAACCACCACCAGTTTTTATACCCTTTGCTTGTAGATTGCGTTCGAACAAAGTTTGTAGGTGGTTAGATAAAATATACTATCACCTAAAGATAAATTCTAAAGCCAAGGATGGGAACGCCAAGTAGTTTAAATTAAATACATCACACACTTTCCGTTAAGTTGATATGTTTCTTCTACAGAAGCCATCAACCCTTCAGCTGAAGCACATAATTCTTGTATAAGTAGTTAAAGTAATATACCTTCGAACAGTTCATATTCAATCAAATGCCATTTTAAGAATTTTATCAGTATTTGTCCCTTCTCTATTTACTTAGCTATGGAGAAAGAGATATAAATATCTATTGAATAAATTTCTTGCCAAATTTGGAACATGAAAATGCACGTTTGCTCTGTCTGTTGCGTTCACCTATAATTTTTCATCACGAGAACAGTGGTAGGATATTTGCAGCGTGTTCCTTCATTTGCTATAGGATAAGTAAGAGTCAACGATATGTACCATATTTTATCTTCCACATATAGAAACAAATCAATGGAAGTCGTAACATAATTATAGGATAAAAATGGTAATTTCACCCTCTGTTTTGCGTATACCTTCTCTATACGGTTTGTCCTTCCTGCTCAGAACCCCTTGTTGTTTCACGAACCTTTTTGTTTACCTTCTATATTATTTTTTTTCAGTTGATAAATAGTTGAATAATTTGTTTATTATTATTATTAAAATGATCGTACTAAAGCAGATTCTCCCTTAATTAATTTTCGAATATGTATACATGATGTACGGATGAATGAGTGTACCGTTCATGAAGTCAATAGACGTTCATTAGGGCAGCACCCCAATCAACGCTATATAGAAGTACACTGATATCAGAACGACCTCATCAACACTGTTAGCTTTTCCAGTAAATCTAAGCTATCGCGGATATTAGAGAATTTTTTCAGGGATGATATAAAGTCTGCCGCGGCATCTAGGAAGGCATTAATACGGTGAAGATGCAGCTTAGTATACCGGTTCACGCACAGAGTGAACACGGAGACCAACATCAGTTTGATTGTGTAGACAAAGTTAAATATGTTGGCGATCTGGCAGGGCTTGATATTCATCTGTTCCATGGAAATAAAGTTGCATGAGCCAGGAACGCACGGAGAGGAACAGGAATTACCACGAAGTGCTGATATCAGAAAGGGCAAGTTGATTGATTTGGCAATGTCTTTAAATATAGAGAACATATTTTGAATAATCGAGTACATTTATTTAGCTTTAGAATAAAGTCTTGATCTTAGAAAGGTAATAAAACGAAAACAAAGCAGAAGTTGATTTATAATTCATCAAGTTTGCAAGTTATCCTTCTTTCGCTGTTATCGCAAGGATCAGAAAACATAATTCTAACCATTTTTAAATAAATTAGATCTCCACACATATGGCTTCATTAGTTCAAAGCCTTCGAGAAGAAAAAAAATCAAAGTTAGCGCGTAAATGCGCTATCCAGTGCTTGCAAAGCCAAATCACTAAGCTCCACACCACTGTAGGACGTTAGGGGATGGGCACGGAGCAAAGCAGTCTGTACTATGCCTCTCCTAACGGTAGGATTCTCTTTTTCACTTAGAAAAAGATCAACATTTTGCACCTCTTGCAGCACTTTGAGTGCAAAGAGGTTCATCGCGTTGCGTAACTCCGCGCCGCTCCACCCAAGCGATCGTCGGACGAATTCAGTAATTAAGATCTCGTTGAGTGTGAGCACAGGCTCCTGTTCGTCCGAAGAGGGAAGCGCACTAGACGTCATCCAGGATGACCACTCCCCGTTTATCACATGCCGCACTAAGCTTGCTCGCGCGGTGGTGTCGGGCAAGGGGACTGCAATATGTGTATCCAGCCTTCCTGGCCGCAGAAGAAGCGGGTCGAGCATATCCACAACATTTGTAGCCCCCACAAACACAACAACGTGGTCCTCGTCCGCATGAATCTCGTCCAGGAGGTATAATAAATGAGCCACCAACCGCGCGTCGTGCGCAGAGTGCCCTTGACTGAGACCTGGTGACTCACCCCCCGCATAACGCACGCCAAAGGCGGCCTGGAGCTCATCCATGAACATGATCGCAGGACTCCGCTCCCGTGCAAGGGAAACAAACTCGTTCAGCCTCCGCTCCGATTCCCCCACAGCCGACTGTACGAGTTCGGGCAGATCCAGGTAAAGAAAAGCTGCGTTCAATTCCGTTGCCATCGCCTTCGCGAGCATCGTTTTCCCAGTTCCTGGTGGACCGTGGAGGAGCACTCCCGTCGAGGGCGCCACCCCTGCCTGACGATAAATCTGTCGGTACCGCAGCGGCCGAGTTACCAAGGCCTGCAAGGTCTCCTTAACGACCTCCATGCCCGCGATATCCCCCCAACGCGTGGATTGAACGTCCACGTACCCCGCCCTGCGGCGGTAATCCTTTGCCGCGGTGGTGTCGCTCGCGGCGAAGGCGCGCACCACCCGCTGCGCGAGCGCGTTCACTGTCTCCTTCCCCAACAAGGCCCAACCCCCCGTGGTACCAGTCCCTGTCGGGCTGGCCCTGAGCTCGGCCTCCGCCGCTTGTACCTCCCGCACAGCCTGCGTAGCGATGTGGTCCAGCCCCGTGTAACAGACCCCGCCGGTGCGAAAGGCCA